TGGGCCGCCCATGCCAATGGCTGATAACCCTTTCGGTGAAAAATTTTTTCCTAATATCCAGCCTGAACCTCCCCTGGTGTAACTTGAAGCCATTTCCTCTCGTCCTGTCGCCTGTGACTTGAGAAAAGAGACCGACCCCCATCTCTCTGCACCCTCCTTTCAGGGAGTTGGAGAGAGCAAGAAGGTCTCCCCTCAGCCTCCCCTCCTCCTGTGGCCACCAGCCGCCCCGTGTCCCCCTCTCCCACACCAGCCCCTGGCCCTGCCTCCCCTGCCAAAGGGTGCCTCCCTTGGCATCTTGCCGTGCAGGCCTTGGGGGTCTTCTACATGTTTTGGGGACCCCCCCCACACTGCAGGCTGTGCCTCTCTCCCCTGCTTCGTTAACTCCTGGGCTGATTAGCACAGGGAGCTCCGGTGTCAGAGAAGGGCAGCTCTGAGGAGAAAGACCTGGTGACTCTTGGCATCTTGCTGTGCAGGCCTTGGGGGTCTTCTACGTGTTTTGGGGACCCTCCCCACTGCAGGCTGTGCCTCTCTGCCCTGCTTCGTTAACTCCTGGGCTGATTAGCGCAGGGAGCTCCGGTGTCAGAGAAGGGCAGCTCTGAGGAGAAAGACCTGGGGGTCCTGGTGGACAAGAGGATGCCCATGAGCCAGCAATGGGCCCTTGTGGCCAAGAAGGCCAAGGGCATCCTGGGGGGCATCAGGAAGAGTGTGAGCAGCAGGGGGAGGGAGGTCATCCTGCCCCTCTGCTCTGCCCTGGGGAGGCCCCAGCTGGAGCACTGGGACCAGTGCTGGGCTCCCCAGTTCCAGAAGGACAGGGAACTGCTGGAGAGGGGACAGCAGAGGCTACAAAGATGATGAGGGGCCTGGAGCCGTCTCTCGTAGGAGGAGAGGCTGAGGGACTTGTGTCTTTTTAGTCTGGAGAAGAGAAGGCTGAGGGGGGATCTGAGCAACGCTTATAAATCCTTCAAGGGAGGGTGTCAGGAGGATGGGGCTGGTCTTTTCTCAGTGGTGCCCAGGGACAGGACAAGAGGTGATGGGCACAAACTTGAACGTAAGAAGTTCCACCTAAACATGAGGAGGAACTTCTTTCCTGTGAGGGTGGCAGAGCCCTGGCAGAGGCTGCCCAGAGAGGTGGTGGAGTCTTCTTCTCTGGAGACATTCCAAAACCTCCTGGACACGTTCCTGTGGGATATGTTCTGGGTGACCTGCTCTGGCAGGAGGTTGGAGGAGATGATCTCCAGAGGTCCCTTCCAACCCCATAGCATTCTGTGATTCTAAGGGTCTCAGGGTGAGATTCAGAGGGGTGAGGGTCTTTGTGCCCTTCCCCACAGGGTGACCCACGCTGGTGCCGTCCCCCACGCTCAGAAGGAGAGGGCTGGGGGGAGGGGGATGCCCGAGCGAGCCGGCTGGAGGAGGCTCAGATAAGAGGAGGAGGAATCTTGCCTCAAATAACTTTACTTTTTAAAGCATCCTTAGGCACGTGAGGAATTCGGATGGCGAGGGGGGGAGGCAGAGCTCTGGCGTCTGGTGGCTCAGGATGTTTAGTGTGTTCCCAGCCGTGGTGGCTGAGAAGGGGGATGCTGTACGGACATCACCGGGAATATTTCTGTTAGAGTTGATAAAGGAAGCCTGAGGCTGGCGGTGCCCGTGCGAAGCCGCAGGGATGGGTTTTTTTTACCCCAGAAGATGGGAGAAGAGCTTGTCTCCCACCGTCCTGTAGGTTTTTGTGTGGGTGTGGGGATGCAGGGCAACTGGTGGGGCTCAGATCCCGATGGGAAGAGCTCATGCTGGGCACCGGTTCCAGCCGTGAGGAGCGGTGCAGCTACAGGGGGTGTCCCTGCAGAAAGGGCCCCTGTCAGATTAATCACAGGAGCGGCTCGTACGAGTGATCACCTGATGGTGGTCGGTTGGGGTCTCCGAGGGGATTTGGGTTCATGCCAGGCGGGCGATGTGACAAACGGGTGAGAGGAGCTCTGGGATGCTTCCCGGGTCAGGATCGGTCTGGCTTTTGGTACGCGTTGGCGGTGTTTTCTTTCCTCGGCCCCTTGCTGGTCACCGTGTCTGGTGGCTCGGATGGAACCCAAGTGAGCGCCGTTCGCTGAGGGCAACTCTCAAGCCCTTGGTGGCTCCTCCATCGTGGGGGTCCCTGCTGTGCTGTGCTGCTGGGAATGCTCTGATGGAGCAGGAGCTGCATTGGGGTCCCAAGGGTGTGAGCGGGACGGAGTCGGCTGGAGGGTCCCTGCAGTGGGGCTGGGTCTGCTCAGCCAGGGCAGGGAGGCTCTGCCAACCCGGGTGCTGGACCCACGTCCTCCCATGGTGATGCTGATCTGTAAAGACAAGGCAGCAGGGTGGAGAGCAGGAGTTGGGGCCACCAGCCCTGTGTTGGAGGTGGTTCAGTGGGTCCCAGAGTGGCTCTGTGGGTCTCGGAGGCGACAGGGGCCACAGGAACCTGCTGGAGCGGTTGTGGCTGGAGCGGGTCGAGCCGGCGCTGGTGCCCTGCCCTCATCCTCTGCCTTGAGGGTTCTCCTTATCCCGGGCAGTGCTTGTGCTGGGTGTGGGTGATGCTTCCAGGATCCAAACCGCCGCGGCTCCTCCTCCCTTGCAGAGGAGGATCAACTGGTTCATGCTGCTTGGGACTCCTCGCCCAGGTGTGTGCCCAAGCCCTGGTAGCACGCAGGAATGTCACCACTGCTGCTACCTGCCCCCAAGAGCGGCGCTGGTGGCTCCCAGCCCCCTTCCAAATGACACTGAAAGGTCCCAGAGTTGTCACTGGACCTTGGGGCAGCTTTTGTGTGCCCAGGACTGCCCTGTTCACCCAGTGCTGGGCTCTGCTTGAGCCCCATTACTCCCAGGTGGCCTCCTCTCACAGAGGAAGAGGGGCTTCAGGACTGGTAGCAGGTTTGGGGGCTGTTTGGGTGGGTGGGAGCCGGGGGCTCCGGCGAGCGTGAGGCTTTGCTGCAGGGGAATGTGTGATCCCAGCGGTTTCCCAGCCCTTTCTGACGGGTACTCTGTGCCTCCAGACATGCCACGGGGAAGGCTCAGCACGGAAACTTCCTGGTGGCCATCAAGCAGGAGAAGGGAGAGTCGGCACGGACGAGCAGCGAGAAACCTCACGGCGAGGAGGAGGTGAGCTCCGGTGCCCTCATTTGTCCCTGCACAGTCCTCAGGAGCAGGACCTGTGTTGCCCAGCCCGGGGTCTGTCCCTCCACTCGCCCTTAGCAGCCCCCACCAGCCTGTGGCCGTGGCTGTGGCCTGAGAAAAGGCTCAGACCTTCCCTCAAGGCTGCTGTTACCTGCCCCCAAGAGCAGCACTGGTGGCTCCCAGCCCCCTTCCAAATGACACTGAAAGGTCCCAGAGTTGTCACTGGATCTTGGGGCAGCTTTTGTGTGCCCAGGACCGCCCTGTTCGCCCAGTGCTGGGCTCTGCTTGAGCCCCATCACTCACCCATGGCCTCCTCTCACGGAGGAAGAGGGGCTTCAGGACTGGTAGCAGGTTTGGGGGCTGTTTGGGTGGGTGGGAGCCGGGGGCTCCGGCGAGCGTGAGGCTTTGCTGCAGGGGAATGTGTGATCCCAGCGGTTTCCCAGCCCTTTCTGACGGGTACTCTGTGCCTCCAGACATGCCACGGGGAAGGCTCAGCACGGAAACTTCCTGGTGGCCATCAAGCAGGAGAAGGGAGAGTCGGCACGGACGAGCAGCGAGAAACCTCACGGCGAGGAGGAGGTGAGCTCCGGTGCCCTCATTTGTCCCTGCACAGTCCTCAGGAGCAGGACCTGTGTTGCCCAGCCCGGGGTCTGTCCCTCCACTCGCCCTTAGCAGCCCCCACCAGCCTGTGGCCGTGGCTGTGGCCTGAGAAAAGGCTCAGACCTTCCCTCAAGGGATGGGAGGCCCAGGCGGGTCCGGGTCGCTCCTGTGTCCTGCCAGCGCGGTGACATCGTGCGCTCTGATCTCTGATCCATGACAAGTTCTCCCTTTACCTTCACCGGGTGCCAGCCGGTGAAGAAGAGGGGCTGGCCCAAGGGCAAGAAGAGGAAGAAGATCCTTCCCAATGGCCCCAAAGCCCCGGTGACGGGCTACGTTCGTTTCCTGAACGAGCGGCGCGAGCAGATCCGCACGCAGCATCCTGACCTGCCCTTCCCGGAGATCACCAAGATGCTGGGGGCCGAGTGGAGCAAACTGCAGCTTTCGGAGAAGCAGGTACTGACCCCCAGGGGAGACACCCCCCTCCCCCAGGGCTGGGCAGCACCCCCTGGACCCCCAAGCCTGACTCATCACCCGGCTGCAGCTCCACAGAGGGAGCTCGTCCCAGTAGGGGTGGGCTGGTGGGCAGGGGCTGGGCTCTGGTCTGTGTGTGGGGGTGAGCGGCCCCCCAGGGCTGGGCCAGGCTGAGGACCCCCTGTGACTGCAGCGGTACCTGGATGAAGCGGAGCGGGAGAAGCAGCAGTACATGAAGGAGCTGAGGGAATACCAGCAGTCGGAGGCCTACAAGATGTGCACGGAGAAGATCCAGGAGAAAAAGATCAAAAAAGGTGGGTTGGGGGGGGGGCAGCGGCTGCTGGGAGCTGGGCTGGGGTTGGGGGGGCTGGGCTGGCTCCTGGGGTAACCTCCTTCCTCCCTCCCTCCCAGAGGACGCGGGCGCTGCGGCCATGAACACCCTGCTGAACGGGCACCCGCACAAGGTAAGGCCCGGGAGGGTCCACCCCTGTGTGGGGAAACTGAGGCACTGCTGGGTTTGTCCCCTGGGAGCTGGCTGCAGGTTTGGGCAGGGGGAGGCTCCCGGGTTGTGCTTCAAGGCCCCCGTTTCCCCGTTGAAGCAGAGCCTGGAGTGGCAGGAGACGGAGCGCAGCCTCCTCCCTGCCCTGCCATGTCCCCGTGCCACCCCTCTGCCCAGCCCCAAAGGAGACGGGGTCCCCTTGGGTGGGCTCAGCCCTGCCTGATGCGTCCCCTGTGGTCCCCCAGGCTGGCGAGGGCAGTGACACCTTCTCCACCTTCGACGTGCCCATCTTCACGGAGGAGTTTTTGGACCAAAACAAAGGTGAGAGGCTGGGCCATGGGGCTGGGGCTGCAGCAAGTGATGGATCCCGGGGGGACAGACCCGCTGGGTGTGAGATCCAGGCTGTGGAAGGTCCCTGGTGAGGCTGGGAGGAGGGATCACCCTGTTGTTTGGTGACACTGAGCCTCTTGGAAGAGTTGTAGTTGGGGAAGGGCTTGGGTTTGGGATGAGGGAGAAAGTCAGAGGGGCCACCCCTGACGTCTCCCCATCCCCACAGCCCGGGAGGCTGAGCTGCGGCGCCTGCGGAAGATGAACACGGAGTTTGAGGAGCAGAACGCCATCCTGCAGAAGCACACGGAGAGCATGAACTGCGCCAAGGAGAAGCTGGAGCAGGAGCTGGCCCAGGAGGAGAGGCAGACCCTGGCCTTGCAGCAGCAGCTCCAGTCCGTGCGACAGGCCCTCACCGCCAGCTTCGCCTCACGGCAGGCGCTGGGTGCGAGATCCAGGCTGTGGAAGGTCCCTGGTGACGCTGGGTGTGAGATCCAGGCTGTGGAAGGTCCCTGGTGAGGCTGGGAGGAGGGATCACCCTGTTGTTTGGTGACACTGAGCCTCTTGGAAGAGTTGTAGTTGGGGAAGGGCTTGGGTTTGGGATGAGGGAGGAAGTCAGAGGGGCCACCCCTGACGTCTCCCCATCCCCACAGCCCGGGAGGCTGAGCTGCGGCGCCTGCGGAAGATGAACACGGAGTTTGAGGAGCAGAACGCCATCCTGCAGAAGCACACGGAGAGCATGAACTGCGCCAAGGAGAAGCTGGAGCAGGAGCTGGCCCAGGAGGAGAGGCAGACCCTGGCCTTGCAGCAGCAGCTCCAGTCCGTGCGACAGGCCCTCACCGCCAGCTTCGCCTCCCTCCCCATCCCTGGTGAGTGCGGGGCAGCCGTGGGGAGCCTGTGGCCGTGCAGAGGGGCACCGGGGGGTGATAACGGCTCATCTGCTGATGGGGCAGGAGCCTGGAGGCTTTGGGGGGCTCTTCAGGAAGCCATGGGGTGTGACAGCCCCCTATAACAGGGGCGGGCTGGGAACTGTCCTCTGGAGCCATGGGCACGGCTTGATCCACAAGGCAGAGCTTATAAAATCGTAGAATCACAGGATGGTTTGGGTGGGAAAGGACCTTAAAGCCCCCCCCCAGTGCCACCCCCTGCCCAGGTTGCTCCAGACCCCCTCCAACCTGCCCTTGACCCCCTCCAGGGATGGGGCAGCCACAGCTTCTCTGGCCAACCTGGGCCAGGCTCTCCCCACCCTCACACCAAACAAGTTCTTCCCCACATCTCAGCTCCATCTCCCCTCTTGCAGGGTCCAACCCTTCCCCCTCCTCCTAGGGCTCCCCTCCCTCATCCAGAGTCCCTCCCCAGCTTTCCTGGAGCCCCCCTTCTTTAGGGACTGGAAGGGGCTCAAAATTCTCCCTGGAGCCCAAATCCTTTTGTTCCTGGGTTTGTGTCAGTTCAGGGTCTCTCCTGCTGCAGGAGATGGCACCGAGTGTTCGGGGTCCCTTCCCCAGCCACCAGCAGGATGGGCAGGGCTGGGTGGGGACTTGCTGGCCCTGCTCACTGGGTTTCCCCCTCGTAGGCACCGGGGAAACCCCCACGCTGAGCACTCTGGACTTCTACATGGCCAAACTGCACAGCGCCATCGAGAGCAACCCTCTGCAGCACGAGAAGCTGGTGGTGCGCATCAAGGAGATCCTGTCCCGGATAGCCAGGTGAGCCGGGCCCTCCCGTCCCTGCGACCACCCCTACCACCGGGTCAGCCCGTGCCAGGGGGGTGACAGGACCCGAGTGGGGCAGAGAGGGGCTCAGAGCTGCTGCGGGCAGTTGTGGGAGAGAGAAGCCACCCCCTGTGACCCAGCCCTGCTTTTCCTCCCTCTGCAGCGAACACTTGTGAACTGGACCAGTCCCTCCTGGACCCCGGGGCCAGCCGGACCGTGGCCCTGTCCCTTGGAGCTCACGCAAGGGACAGTCTCTGCTGGTGGTCCGGCTGCTTCCCCCCCCACCCCACGCACACCTCGCTGGAGAAGTGAGCTGGGACCCCTCTGCCCGGGTCCCACCGCTGCTCCATCTCCGAGGACCTCGAGCTTCTGGGGACCAAGCGGTGACGGGGCTGGGGGCCTGTGGCCAACGCGGTGCTGGGCGAGGTGGTCAGGGGAGGGCATTGAGTGTCCCCCCCTGCTCTCCCGTGAGCTCCCCGGCTCCTGCAGCTCCTTCTCCCTAAACCAGAGACCCCCAAGGGCTGCCCCAGGGCGGGTGAGGTCCCTGGGGGTTACTGGCCTGGAGGGAACCGGCCTCTTCCAGGGGCTGTGTTAACTGGTCTGTGATGGGAGGGAGGCAGCCCCCGGGGCTCAGCGCTGCCTCCTGGCCCCTGGATCGGCCCAGGGAGCCTCTTGGTCCCCTCTTGAGGTAGCAGCTTCCTTCTGCTCGCCTCTTGCTTTATTTAATCTTCCCCCTTCCCCTTGGCTGCTCCCCCACGGGTGCCTTCAGCCCCCTGCCTGTGTCACCCTGCCTGTCACCTCTCCTTCCCCCATCTCTCTGGGACCAGCCGTGGCAGCTCCTGCCCTCTGCAGCGGTGAAGGTGAAACAAATCTTCATGCTGGAGCCGGGACCGACCCCTTTGTCCCCCCGTGGGGTGCCCGTGGGGCCGTGCACAGGCTTTTGGCTCCTTCCCGAGCCCGTTCTGCATCGTGGGACCACCGTGATGGCAGCCGCGTCCTGGCCGTGCTGTGCCGGGGTCGCCTGTCCCCGGGGCTGCCCGTCACTAATCTCAGACTGTGTAATTAGAGAGTGTCTTATTTTCTTACTAGCACTACGTTGATCCGGCCCCGGGTTTAACCCGGGGCTGCTGCGCGACCGCTGCTCCTCTCTCGCCTGCAAGGTCCGTGCTCTGTAGATGAGTCTCCTGGTTGCCATCTCCTGGTGGCCGCTTGGCTTGGGATGGAGATGAGAGCAAATAAACGTGGGAGAAACAACCAGCCTGGGCTCCGTGTGTTCGTGCTCCGTATGTTCATGCTCAGGGGCAGCTCCAGAACCGCTCCCAGCCCTAATCCCGGGGGTTTTGGGATGTTGGAGAGTGGTGGCCCCAAACTCATTGCTGCAGCCCCCGGCCCCAGCTGGGGAGGGTACGATGGAGCTCTCCCACCTCCTCCAGCCTCCCCGGGGCCCTTTCCTGCGTGGCAGAGCTCACCCGATCCCGGTGGGTCACCTGTGCCGTGGGATCGGGTTCCCGGGCCCGGGGATCACCTTACGGCCGCGCCGGGAGCCGGGGCCCATCTATAATTGATGGGGGCCGGCAGCGGGATGCGGCGGGTGGGCAGGCGCGGCAGGCAGGTCCAGGAGGGCAGCCCCATGGAGAACGGCGTGGGGCAGGAGCCGGGGACCCCCGAGCCACCCGCCGCCGAGGGCAGCCCTGCCCCACGCCCCCCCCGTGCCCGCCCCAGGCTGGTGTTTCACACGCAGCTGGCCCACGGCAGCCCCACGGGGCGCATCGAGGGCTTCACCAACGTCAAGGAGCTCTACGCCAAAATCGCTGAGGTCTTCGGCATCTCGCCAACCGAGGTGAGGGGGCTGGGGTGTGGGGAGGGGGCTTTGCACCCCAAAGTGGGGGGACACCAACCCTGTGTCACCGTCCGTGGCCACCCCTCCTGTGGGTCCTTGGCTGCCTGCAGCTGCAGCCCACAAAATGACCTGGAAAAGAGTGTTTTGATCTCAGGGGTGTCTGTGTCTCCTCTGGGGAGTGTTTGGGTGACTCTGTGCCTCAGTTTCCCCCCAGCACACAGTCAGGGGCCGGGGCTCCCCGTTTCTGGGCCGATGCCGGCAGCTGCGTGGCCTGGAGCCAAGGGAAGGGCACAAGGGCTGGGTCCCTGGGCAACCTGGGGGTCTCTGGACCCCTCTGCCACCCTGCCCAGACCTGGCCACATCCACCCATGGTCGGCACCTGCCCCAGCCCCGCCGGGGCACCCCAAACCCTGACGGGGGGGTTCCCTGGGGCAGATCCTCTTTTGCACGCTCAACACCCACAAAGTGGACATGCAGAAGCTGCTGGGGGGACAGATCGGCCTGGAGGACTTCATCTTTGCCCACGTCCGGGGCGAGACGAAGGAGGTGGAGGTGACCAAGACAGAGGATGCGCTTGGCCTCACCATCACGGACAACGGGGCCGGCTACGCTTTCATCAAGGTGAACCCCCACCTCCGTGGGGCCATGCTGGGGCTGGGGGCAGCCCTGGGGGCTGTAGCCCCAGAGGTGCTATCCCCTGCTGGCACCCCATCCCTGGCACCATGCTCTTTCCCTGGCTCCCCTCCCATCGGTGTCCCCCCCCTTGGGCCATGGGGGTGTCCCCCATCATGGTGCAGTTTGGCAGGGGGGGCCCTTCCTCCCTGACCTGGTTCCTAAAGGGTATGAGACCATGAGGGGGGGGTTGTGTGGGGTGGGGGCTATGTCTGTCTGTCCTTCCCGTGGTGCCATCTTGTCGCTCTGTGTGTGTGTGTCCCCCTGTCCCCCCCTGCGGTGCCCAGAGAATCAAGGAGGGGAGCATCATCAACCGCCTCCAGACGGTGTGTGTGGGCGACAGCATCGAGGCCATCAACGACCACACCATCGTGGGCTGTCGCCACTACGAGGTGGCCCGGATGCTGCGGGAGCTGCCCCGCGCCCAGCCCTTCACCCTCCGCCTGGTGCAGCCCAAAAAGGCCTTCGGTGAGTCAGGGCTGGGGGGGGGTCCCCTGCTCTTACCCCGGGGACTGGGGGATCCCCCTGCCCTGCAGCCCCCTCCCCAGGGACTGGGTGCCCCCAGGGTCTGCAACCCCATGTGTACCCCACAGCACCCACGTGGGCACACCTCGGGGGGGGGGGGAAAGGGGGGGTCCTCACACCTGCTTGTCATCCCCTTGGGCCCCCCCACCCC